TGTACTTGCTTTTGTGTCTTTGCGTTTGCTCTCCAAAGGCTCCTATGCTTTTCCATTATAATGTCTTATGCTCAAGATTCAGTTCAATGCTCCCTCCTCTTGAGGATTTCCCTGGGATACTAACTAAAGTTAATGTTCTCTCTTAGTCTTTTAGTATTTACTCGTTTTCTTGCTGCTCCGTGATAATTTGGTGCGTGGGGATATCTTGATTTTTTTATGTACCTGTATTTATAATTATTTTCCATATGCATATGTATGACCTACCCATCTGGAATACAAACTCATTGAAATTTAAATGATAAAAATTGAGCCCAACAATAGGGTGGCAGTTTGCATAGAGTAGATGGATTTTTGGTCTAAGCTGGTAAAAGACCCTGCATTTTCTCTAGCCTAGACTTCAGTCTGCAAGGCTCAGGCAGCCCATAAATTTCAACTCTGTCGGGATCAAATGCCTTGATTTCTACATTTGTATTCTCTTCTCCATCTAACAGTCCCAGAAAGTTCCAGGGAAGCTGCTGGTAGGGGGTGGAGAAAGAGCTTGGGGATTTTTCCAACATGATGAGGCCCACTTTAGGGTGGCATGATGAGTGGAGGGAAAAGACTGCCAGTAGGTATCACCAAAAAAAGGAGATGAGACCATGCTTCCTTTATAATTTTGCTAAGCCCTCTTAATTTTGTGTCTTAAAAACATGAAATATTTAAAAATAAAACCTAATGTTTGATTTATAAAGTGATCTAGTGATACAATATGGAGGGAAGTTCTCATTTCTTCCTCACAGATGTCCTTGTCCTCATCTCCAGCATCTGTGCATGTCATCTCACATGGCTAAGGGGACTTCGTAGGGACACTTAAGGTAAGGATACTTATATGGGGAGATGATCCTGGATCATCCAGTGGACTGAATGTAATCATAAGTGTCCTAACAAGTGAAAGAGGGAAAGTCAGACAGAAAGAGATATGTTGGCGGTTTTGAAGGTGGAAGAAGGGGCAATTAGCCAAGAAATGGAGGCAGCCTCTAGGAAGGGTAGAAAAAGGCAAGGAAATGGTCTCTTCTCAAGAGCTTTCAGAAAGGGACACTGCCCTCTGTGAGCACCAGGCCAGACATCTATGCTCCAGAAATGGAAGATAATAAATGTATATCTTTTTAAGCAACTGAGTTTATGGTAATTTGTTGCTGCAGCCACAGGAAATGTCTACAAAAGCAAGTGCCATCTATCAAGCAATTTGTGGGGAGACCTACATCGGATGCCTTATCTAAGTTGAGGAGCTCAGGGAAATTTTCCTTATATATCGTGAATAAAGTGAGTTTCCAGGGCAAAGAAGAAGGAAAAAAAAAAATCTAGTTTGTGGGGTAAGGGTGTATAGATGTGTGTGGAAACAAGAGCAAAAAGGCATAAAATGAGAAACCAGAAAATTTGGAACATTCCAAAGCCAACCCACCCTGCTAGCAAATAACATGGCAACAGAGGAAACGAGGAATTGGGCGTGGGGGCAACTTCTCCAATATGGAAAGTGGTGGGATGTTACACTCCAGGTTATGGAGTATTTTCATCAATGTGGTGGTGTCAGGGTGTGTGATGGTTTGTATGTTTTGGGGGAGCTGGGATGACATGGGAAGATTTGTATTCAATGTGTGTATATACATATTACAGTCCTCCCACACATATACTGCCCTATTTAATTTTCTTCCTTTTAGCAAATAACCCAAAAGAAAACCAGCGGTGATTTCAAGTGTGATTCCCAGTCTGAATGTCATCAAAGACAAAGATTCCAACTGTGGAAGTCTAATTTACAGTTAGTTCCTCTTACAACCTAGGCATCAGGGGGCAGTCTGCTCTGGCAGTGGAACTTCTGTAGCTTTCTACTGCCTCCTAAGTCACTCTTCTTTAAGATTTATTTATTTATGCATACAAGAACTGGGGTACAGGCCAGAGGTGTGGGGAGGAGGTGAGAGGACTCACCAGAGACAGAGCAGGGAACAGAACAGGCAGATTGACTGAATTACGCTGCTGAGGGGAGCAGTGGAAGAGTCAGGAGAGGTCTGCAGCACCATGTGGGTAGCTCCCTGGCCGGTGATTGAACTCATGCTGCAGTGGCTGCGGAGAGCTTCACTGGTTGTGTCTTAACCCCTTGCGCCACCAGGGAGGCCCCTAAATCCCTCTTCTTGAGAGGTCCCCCAATGGGGTCATAGTCGAAGGTATTTATTCAGGAGGCTGATGTTGGTTTTGGGGATGTTTTAGTCTTCACCTTATCCCCAAAATATATAATCAGACCTTATCCCCAAAATATATAATAATTTCAAAAATATATAATACTCTTCAAACATTTGAATAATCTTAGGTGAAGCGTGAAGAAGTCTCTTTAGAAAGTTTGCTATTTTAAATGCTTTCTATATATTGTCGTTAAAATAGCAATTAAATGCTATCACTTTAAGAAAAATACATAAATAGCAAGGCCCCCTTCCCCTCACCTCAATTTCCAATCGAAGTCCCAATAAGGAGTTTTAAATTTAAAGATGGTTAACAGATTCTCCTGAGCAGGTCTCTCTACACAGGCTACTGGCATTTGACAGTCCTACATTCTGGTTAATCTGGAGTGATTTCCCACTCACCTTTACACAGTAGTCATTAAATTTTTTCAGACAAGAGTGTCTTTGTTGTCCTAGATACTGATTAGAATTGTTGCTTTCAGTCCAAGACTCCCCTGCTCCAGAGAAGTGCCCCCAAAATCTTATATCCACTTTTGATCTTAGCAATTTCTTTTGGGAAATGGTGGGATTTAGGTACAGAATGTTTCCCCTTGACTGTGTTATTTTTAGTAACTTTGTCAAAATGCTTAGGCAGAACATCACTGTGTTGTTGGATAACTCACTGGGCCATCTATCCTGTGTTCCCCTGGCAAAACCTGGACTACTGGAGTAGATTTCCCTTTCCAGGAGAGGGGAGAGGGTCATAGCTCAGGCAGTATCAGAAATGGAGCTAGAGTTGAGCCAGGGAGGAGGAAATGTGGTATTTACAGTCTCAAGGAGCAAATGCAAACAAGAACAAACAGGAGCAACATAACAAAAGGATCCGCAACAGTTGTTTTTTTTCAGTGTTTAAGTTAGTAATAAATAGCCATGGCTGTCTTTGGAACATGATTTTTCTATAAATATTCTCATATATCTATTTTATAGAACCACAAGGATTAGTTAACTAAAACTTATAAGGAGCCATCAACTTTCACGCCTCCCCTGGATTCCAATCCACAAGTTCAACTGGTAAGAGGAAAAATTATTTTTCCTTCTTACTGGGGTGGGACTCAGAAATTAAAGGGTTCCCAGGATGTTTCTGAAGAGCCCTCCATTAATGGGGGGTATTTGAACTAAAGTCTTCCAAATCTGTTAAATGTGAGAAGGGTGGAGCAAATAGTGAAAGCCCCCCTTTCACCCCCCAGCCTTAAAAGTTTATGAACTTCCAAAGGGACACAGGAGAGCACCAGAAAGAGTTTCTTTGGCTAAAGCAGGAACAATGTGAACAACAAAGTAAATAATGTAGTATTGGATTATGGTTCCGGGTCTAAAATACATGAATATGAATCCACACTGATATAAATAAATGACTGAATAGATAAATAAGTGGGAGAGAAGGAAAAAATGAAAAAATGTTGCTTACAGAGTAATTCTAAATAATATGTATAGACACTGCCCCCTCCAGTAAGTAGGGTTTAATTGCCCCTACCCTCCTTTCTTGAGTGTGGGCTGACTTTAGTGACATTCATTAAAAGAAGAGATTATGGCAAGAGAAAAATAGTAACTGCAGTGGAGAAAAGTGGCAGAGAGTCTCCAAGTGATTAATAGCAACATCACCAGGATAAATCGTGTCGTTAAGATCTACCCTTGATATGAGAATGGTAACTCACATCTGTGGTCTTCCGGGAAACCTATAAGCGCTGTCTAACCATAAGAATAACATCAGATGCCCCAAAATAGATGACTGGATCAAGAAGATGTGGTGCATATACACCATGGAATATTACTCAGCAATCAAAAAGATAAACACATGCAATTTGCAGCAACATGGATGGAGCTGGAAGGGATCATGCTCAGTGAAATAAGCCAGAAAGAAAAAGAAAAATACCGGATGGTCTCACTCATAGCAGGAATCTAGAAAACCTAAATAAGGGACCAGGAAAAAGAATAACTATAAGAAAGAAAAAAATCAAAATCAACAAACAACTATGAACCAGAGACACACTATGGGGGGGGGAGGGATTGGGGTCAAAATAAGGGGGCTGTAATTGTATGGGGAATATAAAAATAAAATTAAAAAAAAGAAAAGTCAAGTATAATACTATATTATGTAATACTCATAATAATAAAAAAGAAAGAATAATAAAAAATGCATAACTGTAAAAAAAAAAAGAATAACATCAGAACAAACAAATGAGAGGTCGCCACAAAACAGATGAGTTGAATTCTCTAATTTGGAGCCGATTAAAGAGAAACCACACTAAATGCAGAGTGGAATCCTCCACGGGATTCTGGAAGAGAAATATACTAGCGGAAAAACTAGAGAAATCTGTATAAAATTGAGTTTAGTTAGTAGTAGCGCACCAATGTTAATTTCTTAGTTTTGAATAAATGCACCAAGCTCATGTAAAATGTGAATATTAGGGTTCACTCCTGCTATCTCTGCAACATTTTGTAAATCTAAAATTACCCCAGAATAAAAATTTTTCTATAAACAACAACAAAACCCCACAAAAGTGCATATACCTAAGAGTGCTAACAGAACTTTAACGAGAGGGGTGCAGTGTTACACGCTCGTGCGCTGCGCGCCTGGAGAGGGCACCCGGGCCTCGGGAAGCAGGTTAATGGCCCAGGCGTAGCTGGCGCCCAGGCCCCTCCCAGGAGGCGCCTGCCAGACTCTGCCCCGGGTGCGCCCTTGGGGCGGAGCCCAGTCGGTGGGCGGGAGGCTCTAGGGCCCGCGGAGCTGACCCGGCCTGGAGGCCCAGGGAGCCAAGGCGGGGAGCAGCGCCGGACCCGCACTCGCCGAGCCCCTTCCGAGGTAGGCGAGCCCGGGCCATCGACTGCGGGCCGGGCCCCTGAGGCGCACCCGGCCACCCCGACAGGTGGATGGGCCTTTGGGGGCGGGGTGGGGGCCTCGCCGCTGGTTCTCCCCAGCACGGCACAGCGCAGCGCAGGCCGCCACGGGCATTTTCCTGTGAGCAGGTCCTAGGTGTGAAGAGTATTATCTTCTGGGAACTTCTCTTCTGGGCTCGCGTTCCCTGGAGAAGTTTCTGTTCCTCCCAGAAGAGCAAGAGGTGGCTTTACTGAGAGCGGATGACCCCTCCTGAGCCTAACGCATACCTGATTGTTTACTGAGGTGGCACTTAGGGGGTCCCTTTGGTCGGGGTTCCCCGGGGCTTCTCTCTACTAAATCCAGGGGCGGTGAAGAAAGTCCTCTGGAATACTTGCTGTCACCTGTGAACCTTCAGGTGGCGACTTTGACAGGCACAGTATCCACAGATTGTAAGAGCAGAAATGAAGCTACTTGCATAGTCTCGGTTGGTGCTGGCTTGCTTGCGGCAGGTGTAGCAGAAGGAGAACTAACTGCCCTTGGTTGACATTCTTCTGCGGGGTTTTAGAGTTGGAAGTTAAGAACACTAGGCAGTTATGCAAAGGAGCAATTTCAATCCTACTTAAACAGTCCCCAGGCAGTGCTAGGGTAGCTCTTAGATTGGACAATGACATGACTGAAATTTCAGGCGTGTGTGTGTGTGTGTGTGTGTTTGTGTACATATCACATATCAGATGAAACACTTAGCTCCAGCACAACTAAAGCTATGTCTGTTCACCATCATGCTATGTAGTTTCATTTTAAGAATCAAAGCCTCTTATTTTCTTGGAATATATAAACTAAATGAAACATCAAAATACAAGAGGAAATTATTCTGCATTTGCAATAGGGAGATATCACCTGTCCTTTTGATTTTACCTAATACTACTAAATATTCAGTTCTGCAGACATCTGGGTTTCCAGAAATTTGATCTGAGTTGCCTTCTCAGGTACAGGCAGGCACAATTGGTGCTGTTGTTTCTCCTGGCTGGGCTGCCCCTCCCAGCCCTCTCTTTGCCTTAGAGAATGAAGGGCTAAGACTCAGGAATTTGTGCCTAGGGGGATCTCAGCGTGGTGCCTCTACTGCTTACAGAGAGAATGAAACAGGTTATACTTCCTGCAACCCAGGCAAGTTTCAGAAGAGGGTTTCCACTTTTTTGTGATTTACTAAAACAATTTAGTTACCAAACCTGTGCTAACTAAAAAGGTATTTTTGAAATACAGACACCTTTCAGTTGTATTATTCAGCTTTCATGATTTCATGAATTAATAATAGGCATGTGATTTGTTAGCTTGTGTATTTACAATTGTGCTCCGAGGCCAGCTTGAGTTATAACCTATATTATGGCCAAAGCTGAAAAATGATAAATTAGATTTGGTCAAAGCTGAAAAACTGGGTTTTTAATTGTTTGGAGAATGACTGAATGGGGGAAGAACTGAAGACTTTTGAGGGAATTTAAAAGTCTCTTAAGTAGTGGTTTCAAATCTTTTAAACTAAGATTTTTGCATCTTAATGCATGGGAATTTATTGATTGCTAAAATCATGATGGTAAACAGTGTTATTAATTTAATGACACACTAAAGTGAATTTACATTTTGCTAAGCTTGTAAATGGACACCTACATAGGTTTGGAAAATAAAAGCACGTATGTGTGCACATTCAGTTTTAAAAAATATCTGGTTCATCTGTGGACCTTTGTGCCTAAATAGGCATTCATTATTGAGTTCCTCATTATTGAGTTCCTGTCTTGCAAAACACTGTGTTCTGCGTTGCAGACACAGGGGATCCAGAGCTGTAAATAAGATGAATTCCTGTGTTCAGGACATTGCACAATCTGGGAATCCTGCAGGCACGCCCAGGCCACAGATTAGGGACCATCCAGCAGTTTTGACAATGACAAAAATGAAGTTAGTTTCAGACTACATACAATTTTACACTGACTTAAATAGCCCAATCTAGAAATTGGAAAGGGACATGATATTCAGGTCAGTGAATTTTTCTTTCGCTTTGGTAGGGGAAGATTGAAGAATCATGTGTTTTCCATTTAATATCATGAGATATTGAGAAATTAAACCTGAAATAACTAAATATCAATTTTGTATGAATTAAATAAAATTAGACTTGTAGTAAATGCCAATAATTTAAAGGAAACAGTAAGTGAGTAAGAAACTTGAAATTGAAAAAGTTCTATCCATCAAATTATTTTTCCTAAAAATTAGAAAAATGATAACTACACTTATATTTTACCCCAGAGGGGGAAAAATGACCTTATTCAAGGCATCTTGCTCCCCACTTTTTTTAAAAAACAGATTTATTGGAGTTATCATTTATGGACCATAAAATATATTCAAGTGTACAATTCAATGATTTTTAGTAAATTTGGCTTTGGCCTGGGGTGGGGGTGGAGTCCACAAAGCCTGTATGGAATTAGCTTTAGGACATCCTTTTCCCCCTAACACAACCACTACCACAATCTAATTTTAGAACACTCTCATCATCCTCCAAAGGTCCCTCCTGCTTGTTTTTAGTCACTCACAATCCTAATATCCACACCCAGACTGCTCTACTTTCTGCCTTAGGTAGGAGTGTGCATCAGTAGTTGTACTTTATTGCTAACTAGTATTTATTCCATTGTATTGTTAGGGGGAAAAGGATGTCCCAAAGCCGTTTAAGATCGGGGTTGCTCTATAACAGTATGACGGTTGCACATTTTGTTCACCAGCTGGTAGACATGTCTGCAATTACACTGAAGTGGTAAGACAGCTACTTTCATCCAACATCCACCATAACGTAATTTGAAAATATCTGATAACTGATAGTGTTATAGGGCAGCCCTGATATTGAACGGGTTCCTGGCTGTGGGTCCTCACCCACACACTTAAAAGGGACTTATTAATACTCCACTACAGGCACACACAAAAGGTTAATAAAAGGTTTATTTACAAGGGAAAAGGAAATAAGGAAAATGCACAACTCAGGGAGAAAATAGGGAAATAAAGTCTTTCATGCGTCCTACCCGATCCGCCGACCTGGAAACCCAAAGTCACTCTCAGAGCTGGCCCGATGCTGCGAGCTGGCGGAGAGCCAAAATGGGGGACCCCTCCAAAGCCCACGTGTCTGGCTTTATACCAGCCTGGCTGCTTCACCCCACCCTCAGGTCCCAGCCACCTTCCCTTTGGTGGGGATGGGATTTGGAGTTCCCAGTGTCTTTGGCTTTGGCCTGGGATGGGGGTGGAGTCCACAAAGCCTGTATGGAATTAGCTTTAGGACATCCTTTTCCCCCTAACAATAGGAACCAATCTCTTCTTTATATGTATTAAAACTATATTCCTGGTATAAATTACTGGTATTTCGTTAATGAGATGTAACTGCAATTTTTTGCATACTCCTGTGAAAATAGTAATAGAATTAGCCCACTGCAAGTGCCCGGAAGCATCAGTAATTTAATATTCTAGGTTGGGTTTAGGAGATCTTGACATTAATATTTGTCCTGGGCTACATTTTCTTCACAAATTGACAAGCATACAGAGTGGGTGAATTCTGATGACTGATCAAACAATAACAATTGAAGTACTCTTAGAGATATGAGCGCTTCTTAATAACATATTTTGGTCACACACTTAACATAAAGCGTGAACCAGCTACAATTAAAAGCTTTGTGCCAGGACAGGGGCCTCTAAGAAGAGAGTGTATCTGAATGTGTATGCTTTTTAATTGTATTATTCTGTAGTTTCTATGAATACACTAATTTGAGCTCTTAGATCTGAGAAAATGCAGAAGTAGAAGAAATGCGCACCCCCCACCCTGCCCCCGCCTCTGGGTCCTTTTGAGGAGCCAAAATTGCAAGTTACTCCATGTTGCTACAGAGTAAGTACAGTTCTTCTGTGTCTTACTGTCCACGCTGACTAAAAACTAACACTGCAAAAGTGCCAACTCTTAGCACAAGGAATCTTAGCAAGGAAGATTCCCTGGATCCTAGAAAGGCTGAAAACGTCCAAGCTGTTTTCTTATATACCCCAGTTACCTTCCTTTGTCTCAGCGATGCATTTAGAGGGGTCAGGGTCTTGACTTATGCTTAAATATCCTCTTAGGGAGACTTCTCTAGCTGAGTAGAAACCTTCTATAAAAAGGTTGCAGGTTCTGTGAAGGTAGGAAGACACTACATCTCTGAATGCCGCTACATTACTGCTCAAATTACAAGTTGCTGTTGGTGAAAAAAGATTGTTGTAGCTGTTCAGCATCCTGGTACACAGCTGGTATCCTCTGTTTTCTCCTCCATGCTGAGTAATGTTTAAAATGAAGTCAGTTATGATTGAGCTAAAATATTATAGGACACTTCTGGAAAGCTCTAGATATTTTGTAAATTCCTGAGTCCTTTATTCTTAAAAAAATTTATAAGGCCATTAAAGAAATTTAAGAGGCTACCTTTTTTATTTTTAATTCATATTTTTTACATCATTGTTTATTCTCCTCTTGTTAAGGGGAAAAAGATGTCCTAAAGCTAATCCCATACAGGCTTTGTGGACTCCACCCCCACCCCAGGCCAAAGCCAAAGACACTGGGAACTCCAAATCCCATAACCACCAAAGGGAAGGTGGCTGGGACCTGAGGGTGGGGTGAAGCAGCCAGGTTGGTATAAAGGCAGTCACGTGGGCTTTGGGGGGTCCCCCATTTTGACTCTCCACCAGCTAGCAGAGTCCAGCCAGCTCTGAGAGTGCCTTTGGGTTTTCAGGTCGGCGGATCGGATAGGACACATTAAAGACTTTATTTCCTATTTTCTCCTTGAGTTGTACATTTCCCTTATTTCCTTTTCCCTTGTAAATAAACCTTTTATGAACCTTTTGTGTGTGCCTGTAGTGGAGTATTCGTAAGTCCCTTTTAAGCGCGCGGGTGAGGACCCACAGCCAGGCAACCCATTCAATATCGGGGCTGCCCTATAACACTCTCA